TCATACCTAACGTTGAGATCCAGTTTCTCAGGGTAGTTGTGGCAGAGGTGAAAACGGTAGATCCTATAACCTACGGTACCGTATTTTGTACCCTATGTATCCCGCAGCCTTCGATCTATATTGAGTTTAACGACCCTAAGGTTCTCGGTATCGTCTCCAACATTCCCGGATTTTCTCGGTTCTGCGTTCCATAAGCATTACCTTTAGGGTATTTTATCATATTTCGAAAGATTATCAAATTCGAATTTCTCCTACCCAAAATGCTCAGAATATGTAACATTCAGCAATCCCGAGTATTTGCATATTTTTTATTAAATAAATGATTCTCTGACAATTCACATATTTAAACAACGTATATTTTAACAATAACAATAATTTGCAATCACTTTTCGCTATCATAGTATACTTGCATCGCGATATGAATTTTAATCAATGCATCACCTGCACATAGGGTTCGAATTTTATAGGCACTGCTAACAAGATATCACGCACCGTGAATGTTTTGTCTTGAAATAGATGGACTAATCTACTTGGGCAGGCTACTAAGGAGCGCAAAATGTGCTAGTAGTTGCAAGCGTATTGATTAGCCGGGCAGCTAGTTTCGTTAATGTAGACACGAAGAGAACGCCAATACAGAAATTCTATGTTACACATCACCTATTAATTGTACATGTATTACATTCCATTACTATATTCCTAGATACCTATCTCAATGAGAGAAGGAGTTACTAGCTATGACGTCTATCCATCATTGATCGACACTGAATTACCTCCAACACAATGGAGACAATTTAGTGCTGCACGAAAATATCTACGGTCTTTTGACAGTAAAATTTGTTAAAAAAATATCTGTCACACACCAACGAAAATTATATAAAAAATTATCTAACCTTCAACGAATCACGTGGCACACATAAACGTATTCAATATTTACAGTTAATTAATCTAAATTTATTACTTCTTAATATCACGATTACAAAATAATATATTGTAATTATATCATAATTAGAAAAGAATTATTCATACATACTTGGCAGAAAAACAAAATTCCATCACTTTTTATTGCTAATATCGATAATCTTCATATTGCCAATAGAGATGATTTTCTATGTGAACATTCGAAAATTTCCGATTTACGCGCGATCAACAGATTAATACACTTGTTCACTTGCACGTGGTAGATTGAAACGAAACATAGGTTTATTATGTTTAACTAGTTAATTCGACAAATATATTGGCACACATATGTCACGATTTCAGGTAGGAAACTTCGTGCACGTTAATTATACATAACTATCTCTAAGCTCGTCCTACTGCGAATGTGGTAGAAATACACGTGTAACTTGCAATGGTGCACCATATTATGTGTATGCATACGTGTGCATGGCGAGACGATGATGGCGCGAAGTAACGAGATAACTTTGTAACAATAATGAAATGTATGTATGTACGTCGTGTAATGCAAAACAAAGGCAGTACGGTATGCATCGGTGGAAGTGCTGCCAGGAAATCAGTTTCGTTGCGCAAAATTCGAAATCGCATATTTCACGTATCTGTACGTCGATGTCGCAGTTTACATGACAGTTGAAATATAGCCTATAAAAACGCGGCATTACAAGTAGCGCGGGAAATATTTTCTATTAAATTGCATTATTTTGTCGGTGATTAATTCAATCGAAAGTAAAATATAAAAATTGCAAATTACCTGAGTTTAATATGAATTCGACAGAAAATGTAACGTGAAATAATATACACTTGTACGTTGTAGAAAATGATTACAACGTACTAAAAGAATTCTGTAATGCTTGTTTTATAGGGTGTTGGCTGCACTGCACCTATTCGACACGATTGGTTCTTTTAAAAATGTATAAGTTTGTTGCGAGGTGAATGTGGCGTGCAGGTTAGAGGGAAAACAATGCAAAAATAATGCAGTCCACACATTGTAGACCGTTAACAAATCTTTTCATCTTTGAACCTTTCATCGATCGACACGAATGTGCCGTTTTAGTGTGCCATGGATTTTCATTTTAAATACGTACTTGGTAAATATACTGGAAACATTTTTTTCTTTCTCTAATGATAACGTGATTTTATATTTTCTACTTAATATTTTGTTAACGTCATTATCATTGAGGAAAATGTTTTATTGGATTGGAACAGTGTTAAGACTTGTTTTAACGAATATAACATTTTTTAATCGTAAACTATATCAAAATATTGAATACAAATTTAGTTAATGAATATATTATATTGCACTTTGTTAGTTACGTTTATATGCAAATTAAGTGTTTAATGATGTTTTTGTGTTCCTCTATATGCTTTGGGGCTTTAATGTAAATTATGTAAATATTAAATAGCACAAACGTCTTTCACGTGGAATGTGTTATTTTAACAATGTGAGAAGGATAAAATGCGCATTACACATGTAATTTAAGTTATTTTAATTTTCCAATGAAATATAATTTTTATTAGTGCAAAAAGTGCATTGAACAATTATTGTAAGCTTCGATTATGAGATTAGTAACCTTAGATATTGTCGGTAATATAGATTTCAGAGTTTTTGAGGTAAACTACATTATCGATACCAATCGCAATTCATCTTTTCACACATTTTGACATATTGAATCTTGTATCCGTACAATTTTATTTGTATAATTTATTTCTGCATATTATTTTTTTATTCTTATTTTCTACTTAATATAAATGAAGTTTTCAAAATTAATAACACAACATCGTACTATGATAGTCTCTTATTTACGTTACAAGTATTATTTGCAAATTTCTTTGGAGCCAACTTTTTGTTACAAAAGTATTAGAATATATAGAGTATCCCATACGAAATGTTTCGGAAAATGATCAACAGATAGCTCCAAAAGCAACCTTCCTCTCAATGGAAGTTTGTGCTTTGGCGAACAGTCACGTGGTCACATGGAAGAAACCAATCAAAACCGACGTTGCATACCACGTGATCGGAAAAATCGAAATGGTGGACGTATCGGGACGCAGGATCCCGAGAGGAGACGAAGGACGATAAACTGGGCAAGGGCCCATCATCCGTGTCATCAGTATTATCAATCCAAGAACACAATTAACCGCGAATATCGGCGTAATTTCAAACAGGATCGTGGTTGACTTAACGAACGCAAAAGTATCGGTGACAGTAGATCTTGTTTACTGAAGTGTCAATCCGCCCGTATTGTACGTGTGTTCTCTAGGTGCGAGAAAACAGAGGGACAGTGTGTGTCGAGTGCGCGAGAGCCACAGCTGCACGTATCGTTCTCTCGATAGTACGTTTCTGTAACCGTGCACGAGAAAGAGTATATATTTTAAGTAAACGAATAAGAAGGAAGAAAACTGGAATTTGTGAACAGACGGCAGTGCGTTTACAGTGAAATTTTAAGTTCGTGGTAGCATGTCCAAGTATGCGAGAGGTCTAGTGATTTATAAGAATGTGTCACATCGAGCGTCTTGTTATCAGCGAAGAAGGTAATAGGAAAAGCATATCCCTCGAATAGGCCTGCGTATTTTCATTGCATTCTTTTACGATGATCTGTAATAACCAGTAAGTGTCATGCCTGGACGAGAAATTCTTGATGACTTTAAGCCCGGTTTACTCTGTTGACGTTCACACTCGCAGATCGCTGCTGATTGGTGGTATGGTCCATGACCCGCCAATCGGCGTCGGAAGACGGTTTTCCTGCGAATGTCAGCCGTCAGGTCCGAAGCAATCGGTATCTCGAGAACGTATGTCGTTTTTCGCAATCCTTTGTGTATCCAGTGAATGATCGATGTGTTACGATTACCGCTCACCCGAGATTATTCAATATATTATTCCACATTGTTCCTTGTTTTTGTGCTAAGATTAATCCGGTACTGTTTAATTGAAAAATTACCGGTTATGACGAGAGAACTTATGGGGATATTTTTAAATTCGGCTAACACAAATTCATAGAGAAGAAATAAAGAAAAAAGAAAGAAATTTTGAAGTAACAAAGAGATGTGTTGATTTGATTTTTTTTTGTTTCAAGGTTGGAATTATTGACTGGAATGTACATTTTTTTGTCAAATTACACTAATATGATTCTCTTTGACAGACATTTTGTACTTATATGATGAAATATTTATGTGTAAAATCATATATAAATAGAGAGAAAAATATCCTTGTATCATGAATGTAATAAGAATTTAATGTTTACACGAATCGAATAATTTTATTTAATAGAACAATGCAACAATGACATTATTTATGAAATGCAACAAATAAGTTGATTTGAAACATTGATGTGTCATACATCTTTTTTTTCAGATAAGATATTTCCATACGCACAAAAGTTTTATAATACGTACAAATGCAAATACGTCTATAATCTTTTGCAATAAGTGTATCAAAATACTCAAATGGCACGAGAATGTTTACAAAGCATTGAGAACGTTGGATTATTGTCTCAGTGGAGAAACTGAATTATTGCCTGCCAATAATAGCACACCTACACTCTTTTCAACTATATAGTGAATGTCATGATAAAATATAATGGCTGTCAGAAAGATTTTGCTGGACATTCAGTGTTAAATACAAGATACCTGAATTAAATGCATCATCCTATAAATTCAAAATACTCTAACTGTTAAAGAACAAAATCAACAAAAACCTATAAAATTGACTGAATATATACATTTAAAAAACAATAAAATAATTTTAATGATTCTATTTTATTATACAAAAAAAAAGAAAGATATATTAATCTATGATTACAATACTCTGTGGTATTTTGTCCTATTGATCAAATTAAATAATGAATTTAAATGAAAGCTTCAAGGAAAATTTGGAAGTTCTTTACTGTTTCTGTATACTATGTACTGAGATGGAAAAAAAGTAATATTGACAAATTTTTATTTTGTTGAAACAATTCATAAGATTTGACGTGATATACATATATATATATATATAAATAAGGTCTTTTAGTTTATGAATATTGGGTAATTTTGAGTGCATTTGACAAACTTAAATTAATGTAAACAATACCTGTAAATAAATCACAAAAATCAGTGAGACTGTAATAGTGAACATTTTTAAACAAAATGTATAAAAGTTATTTTAAACGTTTGCATCAGTGGCTGTACATAATTGAAAAGCAGAAAGAAGAAGGAACAATACATTTGAAATTTTGCCTGGATGATAGAGGACAAGTTTGTTAACCCTATACAAAACAAGGTAAGAATTGTAATATGTATAAGGTATATATGAAATTAGTGAAAAATCTATATATGAATATTAATTTTATAGGGTTAAAAAATGGACTGCAGTGGCTCGGGGGTAGTGCAAGTATTTGTGGGTGAATGGAGCCCAGAATATGAAGCACTTTCAATTAAAGCTACAAAACACACTTCATCAGCTGAGATAGTGGAATGTATTATAGAGAGACTTAGTTTAGCTGATGCATCTGTTTCTAATGATTATGAGTTAGCAGAAGTAGTAGGGAACTCTGTTGGGCAAGAATGTAAAGAAAGAAGACTTGGACCATCTGAGTGCCCTGTAGCACTTATGTTGTTATGGCCAAAAAATGCAGCTCAACAAGAATACTACAGGTAAATAAAAAAAAATTGGTTAAATTATTGTAAATAGGGAAAAGATGAATTGTGTATGAAATTACAAACTATTGGCATTAAAAGAAGAATCATTAATGGAATTATATTTTATCTTTAGGTTTTACTTGCGCAAAAAACAACCAGATTATTTGTGGTCAGATAGTAGATTTCCCATGGATCCACAGCTCCTCAAAGATTACTTTGATAGATTCCTGTATCAACCACGAGACAAGGAATATCCAGATCTATGTCAGCTTCCAGATCTTAATGAACAAACTCTATTGGACAACCTTCGGGCTAGGTTTTTAACTGGAAACATATATACCTATGTTGGCAGCATACTAATTGCATTAAATCCATTCAAATTTTATCCTATTTACAATCCAAAATATGTAAAACTCTATCAAAATAGAAGATTGGGGCCTGATATACCTCCACACATATTTGCCATAGCTGATGCAGCTTATCACTGCATGCTTAAAGAAAAGAGAAATCAGTGTATTGTTATTAGCGGTGAGAGTGGCTCGGGGAAAACGGAATCAACAAATTTTCTATTGCATCATTTGACAGCACTTAGTCAAAAAGGTTCTCATGGTAGTGGTGTAGAGCAGACAATTCTCAGTGCTGGTCCAGTATTAGAAGCATTTGGAAATGCAAAAACTGCACACAATAACAATAGTAGTCGTTTTGGCAAATTTATTCAAGTGAATTATAAGGAAAATGGCATGGTGCATGGGTAAGCTTTTTATATACAAAATGTAGGGAATATCATACCTCTTTGTGATAATAATTGATGATTGCACTAAAATTATCTCCAGGGCTGTTGTACAAAAGTATCTTTTGGAAAAATCAAGAATAGTTTCTCAAGGAAGAAATGAAAGAAATTATCATGTATTTTATTATCTTTTGGCTGGGGCAAGTGAACAAGAAAAGCAACTCCTGCATTTAGAAAGTTGTGATCGTTATAATTACTTAAATAAAAGTGGTTGTTATGGACTTGAAAACGTCGATGAACGACATGAATTTTCAAGACTGAAACAATCTATGGAAATGGTTGGCTTTACACCAGAAAAGCAAAGACGATTGTTTGCAGTTCTTTCAGCTGTTCTTTTACTCGGTGATTAGAAGCTTATGTCAATGGCATTTTGTAAAACAAACTAACTATATCTCGTTATTTTAGGTAACGTTGAGTTTCAGCCTAGAAAATCGTATCATCATCATGATGAAGCTGTAGGAGTTAAAAATCCTGAAGTAGTTGCATTGATATCTGAACTCCTTAGAGTAAAGCAGGAAACTCTTTTGGCTGCTCTTACTGCCAAACGTGCAAGGGCTTCTGGAGAAACATTAGTTATTAACTATAAGCTTCCAGAAGCAATTGCGGCGAGAGATGCTATGGCCAAATGCCTATATGGAGCTTTATTTGATTGGATTGTACTTCAGGTAAGATATTACGTTTTTAAGTTTGTAATTTATGTTATACAGTTAAGTTGAGATAAAATAATATCTTTTTCCTTTTTAGGTGAATCATGCTTTACTTTCCAAGAAAGATACCCTTAGAGATCATCAGGGCAATAGTATAGGTGTACTAGATATTTTTGGTTTTGAAGATTTCAAAACATGTAATAGTTTTGAACAGTTGTGTATAAATTATGCAAACGAACAACTACAACACTATTTCAACCAACATGTTTTTCAATACGAACAACGAGAGTACAGAAAACAGGGGATTAGGTGGACAGATATAGGATACAGTGATAATTCAGGCTGTTTAAATTTAATAGAAGGGAAACCGAGTGGTCTTCTTTGCCTCTTAGATGATCAGTGCAAGTTAGTATTGTGTGACAATTTTACTTTTTAAGCAAAGCAATCAATACATTACGTTTCATTGAATTAAAAAATTTGCGTAATAGCTTTCCGGGTGCAACGAACGAGACACTGCTACAAAAATTCAATTCAGTACATAAAGACAATCAATTTTATGAGGCACCACAACGACGTGAAGCAGCCTTTGTTGTACGCCACTATGCAGGGGCTGTTAAATACCAAGCTTCTAATATGCGAGAAAAGAACCTGGATTTAATGCGACCCGATGGTGTTGTTGGTGTATTGAAAAATTCTTCCCTTGCTTTTGTTCGGGAATTAGTGGGTGCAGATCCGGTTGCTGTATTTAGGTGGGCGATACTTCGAGCTTTTTTTCGCGCTCATTTTGCTTTCCAAGAAGCAGGCCGAGCACATAGACACGGTCGAGGTATAGCATTACTTTTTATTACAGCTATGTGAATCTTTTAAATTTACATTTAAATCTCTCATAATAATGTCGCATAAAACTCTTCTTTTTAGCTGATGGTACAAAAACGTCTATACAGAACAGGTATAGGACACCGAACGAGAATTTGATAAGGTATACATTATTTTTCTATTTAATTTTACATTATTTTTATTCTCATAAAGGGTGACTCAAAAATATTTAAGTGCTTGTATACTCATGATATAAAGCGACATTTATTAGTTAAATAATAATGATCGTGATAAACAAATGGCAATGTTATTGCGCTTGTTTTTGAATATGTTTTATCTGCATATTATCTCACCCTACAAAGTATAAATCTACGTTGTGCGTTAATAATATTTGCATCAAGCTGAAGAAGTTCCTATGTGTTTATAATTAAAGCAAACGTTAATTATATTTACATTGGCCACATGTCTTTTGTCCCTGTAGCCATCTTGTGACGTTGTCGACCGTCAATCTAACTATTAACCGAATCGCGTAAGTGGTCTTTTGATCCACTGTATGTGTCATTTTGGCAAACGTTACAGTTTTTAAGCTAAGATGTCTTATGGATTTACAATGTTTATCTTACCTCTATCTTTGTATCAAGAATATATTAAACTTAGCATTTAAATTTCAGTGGATTTGCAGCAGCATAAAAAATTATAAGTTATAAACAGTTTGTAAATCCATATAACTTTTTTCAGTCTTGTGTGTTAAAAATATATTGTTTAGAATTATATGTATGCACTTTTTGTATTAAGTGTGATTAGAGTGCAATCTTCATAACTTTCGCCATACAGTTACATCCTGTCATTTAAGAATATATTACTTTACTTGCTATTACTCTTAAGCATGATTAACAATGCAACAATAATTTTTTTAATTTATACAAATCATACCAATCATTGAAGTTCATATTGTTACATTAGAGTTACTCATGAAACAAATTCTTAATGAAATCATTTTCTTCCGAAAAATATCATCGACAAACTTAAACGCGTAAACTAAATATTTATATTGAACAGTATAATTACTATTTAGTTACATGAATATATTTGAAAAACTAAGCATGAGAGACTTTTTCAGTTCGCACAAACATAATCGTCCACCAAGCTATCAGAAGCAGCGCAGTGTCTGTATACCATCAACTATACCCACTACCACATTATCTTCTATACAACTCGAAAACAACGACAATGTAAACAACAACCGATTGTCGTGGCCACAATTTCGAAACATTAATCAAACGCAACACCCGTCAAATGTAACCACGATGAAGGGTTACTTAATAAGGGGCAGGGAAGACCAGCCTCATAGTAATAATAAACTCAGGCGAGATACTCATACTCCGCTAGAGAGGGTGCTTCCAAAAGACGAAGCAAACGTCATGGAACGCGCTAATCAAATAGTCATGTATGTAAACAGCACCTATTTAATATTCCATAACATTGTAATTTAAGCTACAAAAACTCACTGCTCTACAATAAAGGTAGTGTGTGCTCTATAGTAATTCTGGGTGGAGGATTTCCTTTCATAGGTAATAGCATTTCAATAGGATATTGGTCTTCCCATGCAGTCATACACAGCTTTCTACGAATATTCGTTCTTTTATGAAGTTTTCACATCTCTTTTAGAGGTCATCAAAATCGTTTTCTTTGATGTACCATAATATTCACGATCATTATCCCTTACCGTCTACTAGTCTTCACGTTTTAATGATTTATTTGATCATAACTTTAGCTATAATTAATGCATGTTGATTTCACAATAGTAATTTTCTCACTTTTTGGATTAAGATAGTATATAAATTAGCCCATTTAATTCATAGAACAAGATCAATTAAGGAATATTTTGAGATCAATAATACTATTTAGAACTGTATATTTAGTTCTAGTTCAGTGTATGTATACAGTCAAGAATGGGTTGATTTATATAATGCTGCTGAATGCAGCAAATAAACTCAATTCAAAAAATCCTATGTCATTAAACTCCTCATCTTATAAACACATCCTTTCTTGCTAGCAATTAATTGCAGTTAATTGCACGGTATAATTTTTTTATGAAGTTAACAAGTTACAAACCTTGCACCAAATTGTAAATTTATTTATTAATGAGAACATTAACTCACAAAGTTAGTAGCTCATAAAGAATGCAAATTGCTTGTCATTAATATTAATAGTTCACGTTAATCACGCATCTATCTAGTGCAATAATCAAATTGTATTTTTTTTTACATTATTGAAAACTTCTATATTCGCAAATAACTATTTTTGTATATAACTAATCTTAATATAACATGCTTTTTTATATTCGCTATATCACAATCTAGTCAAATAAATTCTAATATTCTGCTAAATGTTTGCTACTTATATTTCATAGTACGTTTGTAATGATTAATTGTTACTCCTTGCAATGCCATACATGTCATTATAAGAATTATATTCGCGGTGAAGTATGTGAAGCGTGACTCGAACATTTTCAAAGATATTGTCAATATTCCAATGTGCTATTAAGCAAATTTGACTTGCAGATTGTTTGAAGGAAAATTTGTTTTCTTTAGTTGTATTTTTGTACGTGAAAGTGCTAAGAATACATCTAAATTATAAACTTTTCTGAAATGGAATTATATAATTTCCAATATGTTTCAATGTATCTTATATTGAAACAAAGTTAAAAATTAAAGAAGAAACCTAAGCCGAAATATTTATCCCCTGTCACTGTTCAACTTTGCCTATTAACATTTTTCAATATTATAAATGTTTTTTGAGGATGTTCAGTTATCATATTTTACATGACTCACCCTATATTATCCTTTTCCTGTTTTTCTATTGTATGTACACATAATAGTAGTATTAGAATAATATCTCATATTGATTGATAAAAATCATTTTTAGTAAGAAATTACAAAAATAGGAAAAGGAATTCTCCAGTTATTTTTCAACACTAATACAGTGAAATTTGCCGCTTTTACAGGAAAAATAAATCATTTCGACCAAGAGAACGAGGTAAGAAGGGTTTAAAAAATCTTCAAACTGTAAAAACACTTGCTGGAAGAACACAGAGTTATGGTACAGGACCTGGAAAAGCAAGAAAACAACCCATGACAGTATCTGCACAGTTTCAGCAAAGTCTGCATAGTCTTATGGATACTTTAAATCAAGCAAATCCTTTCTTCATTAGATGCATTAAAAGCAATGCTAATAAAGTACCGAATGAGTTTGACGAGGAAACAGTGCAACGGCAATTAAGATACACAGGAATGTTAGAAACGGTCAGAATAAGGCAGGCTGGATTTAACGTTCGATTAACATACGAAGAATTTATTCAGTTGTATAGAATGTTGTTACCTAAGGGTTTGTTAAGTTCCCAGTCAGATGTTAGAGATTTTTTGTTGACGCTAAATCTAAATAGAGACAATTACCAGCTTGGAACAACTAAAGTGTTCCTTAGAGAGTCAGAAAAAATTAAACTAGACATTGAATTACACCAACAAATCATTACAAGTATTACAACTATACAAAAATGGTTCCGTGCATGCTTGGAGAGAAGGAAATTCCTCCGATTGAGAAACGCAGTTGTGCAGATACAGTCATTTTGGAGGATGGTTATTGCCCAAAGATTTGCACATTCTTTACGTGCTAGAATCGAGGCTGCCGTTCATATCCAGTCTGCTTGGAGAGCATATAAACATCATAGTTGGTATAAGAAACTGAAGTCATGCGTAATTACCTTTCAAGCTCACGTTCGAGGTAATATCGCAAGAAAGGCTTTTGCAGAACTAAAGAAGCGAAAGAAATTGCCTATCGATAAAATCGGAGAATATAAAGAAATTCAAGATCAAAGAGATCTTGTTTATGATAACAGCAAGGTGTTCTCTAGGCTTAGAGATAGTGAGGAGTAAGTATTAACAAAAGTAATTAAACTTGTAATATAATTCGTAATAATTTATAAATATTACAATTAACATTTCTATTTAATGCAAAGGTCACTCACAGAAGATCATGGATTGTTGGAATTTAACACGGTTCGGAAGCCAGAGCCTCAAAATCGTCTTACATCGGCGAGGTGCATAAACGTTTACTTCTTACATTGTAAGTGTTAATTGTATAATTGTATTAATGTGTATCTTAATTGTAGAGCGGATAATGTGCTTCGAGACAATATGATTGACACAAGTATGTCATATTCCAAGCGTAAAGTTACACCAAATACAAGAATATTGCACGAACCTAGCACTATTCTGAGGAATACGGAGTCTTTCCCCTCCGACGATTTTAATGAGCGTAAAAGCAGTTTGGAAAGTTTGACCAGTTTAAGGAGCTATGAATCTCAAGTAAGCGTTAACAGCTCTGAATCTCAAGAAAATTCCTGTTGTAAACCAGTACCGAGCACTAGAACGAAACGCGGTGGCGATCAATCTCCTGTTGTCACAGTACATACAAACTTAGGAAATGTTTCAAGCCGATTGTCCTCTGTTAGTAGACGAGCGGATAGCTCGTCGACGGGATACAGTGATGGAGAGACTGATACAGAAATCCCTAGTACCGTGCAAAGTGCTCCACCTGTTTTTAACGCTGCGCCACCATTCCCAAGTCCACGAGAAATTAAATATCACCAATCGAACGTAAACTTAACGCATAGCCCAAATTCAGATGTCTGGCGTCGTAGACCAGATTTTTCGTCCATTAATTATAGCGATTATTTAATGTCTGGCCCTCAAAAATCTACGTTGACTCGTTCTCCAAATGTTACACAATTTAAACATGTAGCGGATAACTTGTTCGAACAAGTTCAACAAGACAAACCGAATGAAGCATCGAATTATAATGTGAAGTTGGATAGTGAACGGTTTGTTCACGTAGAGAGTTCATCGGGTAGAGAACAACGTCGACTCAGCGACAATAGCGTACCGACTGAACGAATAGAAAGCATTCCAGCTTCACCTATTAGACGCGATCAGACATACGGTCATAATAAAGAAATTAAAGATTTTAGTTATTTAAGAAGACAAAACTCGGAGGGAGATACATCTATGAAATTAGATGTTGTGAACGATGAGAATGTTTTGAAATGTCCCTTGACGAAAGGAACTTCACCTAAAGAGAAGAATACGAGACCAAAGGAAAAATGCGAACCTGACGTACCTGTCAGAAGTGCGAGAAGAAACCGGCCCACTCGAGAAGTACAATGTCGATCCATGGGCGAGAGTGTATCGGAAAGCAATAGCGGAGAAGCAAAAAGTCTATTCTTAGGCACGATTAAAGAGAGTGATCTACACAAATCGACAAATGTGCGGTCTCGAAAGGACGGTTCGCACGAAACAACCGCGAGATCGGTGACAGACTGGCCTGTGAACAAAAGCGAATCTGCATCGAAAGGGCAACAATCTGGCAAACGTATGAGATCGAATGCTATAACAACGCTCGAATTGAGGAGAAGAAATTCGGATCCAGCCACTAAAATATCAGGACTGAGCGATGATAAATCTGGAGCCGACACGAGTCCTAATGACTTGAAACTCGCGCCAGGACTCTTAGAATGGAAAGGTAATCATTTCACGTTTGCCGGTCATCGTTTCAGAAAAGTAGCGAGGTTTGCCAAAGACGATGTATGCGTTTGTTGCCACGAAAAGATGGATGCATTCGTTACTCAGGGGTACAAGTGTAACGATTGTAAACAGTTGTATCATGTTAAGTGTATTCAGAATGGCGGAGTACATAAAATGCCGTGCATACGGAAAAACAGGAAACCACCGCGAACACCGTATGACGCAACGAAACAAACAGTAGCATCGAAGTTCAGCTTAACCGGCACATCTGCTTTCTCTGATAGTACCGATAAAATCATATCCGACGCGAAGGAATTAGCTCTGATGCAAGATTTCATTACAAAGAAGATATACAAGATGGAAGGGCAAGAGGAGGGTAGAAAGCCTAGCGAAGTTGATCGCGTGTTTAAGCAAGCTTTGCGTAAATTTAAGGACGATCTTGTGATCACTTACAGCGTTGCTATTCAGCAAGGTGTCGAAGGCAATATCAAGTACACTGACCTAATAGCGAATTTCTTACATGTGATGGAAACAGTTTGTAAACAAGAAAATACCAGTGAAGATTTTCCTGTGACGATGGGAGTGAATGCGTTCAGAGGATTCATGAACGAATTTATGACGCTAGTCAAAACCGAAGCACCGGAGAAACAGAGTAAAAGCAAACGTAAAAAGGATAAGAAACGAAAACAAGAAGAGCCAATACAACACGGTAATCACATGTTGCAGTTAACTATTCTAAACATACCTACAGCCTGTGAAGTGTGTACCTACTTCTTTTTATGGCCTCTCGAGCGAGGACTTGTCTGTCAGAGTAAGTATTCTCCTTCCGAATATCCTAATCTATTTCAATAATTCTCGTTAATTCGTATTTTCTAACTTAATATTTCAGACTGTAAGTTAACGTGCCACAGAAAGTGCTACATGAAAGCATCGGCAGAGTGCGGGAAAGAGGCATCGATGCACGAAACGAACTCGCGTAAGGTGTTTGGTGTACCGTTGTACAAATTAGACTGTGGTGACGGCAAAGTACCGGTAGTGGTGGATCGGTTAATCACAACCATAGAGATGCTGAAGGAGTTAAAGTTAAAAATGGACGAAGGTGATCTAGAGAGAGTGGACTTTGAGAATTACCAAGTACACGTGCTTGCAGCAGTATTGAAGAGTTTCTTTCGGGATATGCCCGAGCCTCTTCTCACGTTTGAATATTACGACGATTTTCTCTATGCTGCTAATTTGACGGATCCACGGGATCGGATCAGCACGCTTTTCGCCATACTGAAAAAGCTACCGAAGCCGAACTTCGATCTGATGGAACGACTGATCGTTCATTTGGCAAGAGTGGCGCTTCACGAAGACGACAATCGAATGTCACCGTCAGCCCTAGCGATAGTCTTCGCGCCATGTATACTGAGAACGAGCAGGACGCAACCTGCGCAAGATTCGTTGCAAGATGTTGGCAGGCAAACTTGTTGCATCGAAACGATCGTCCAAGAAAAATTGAGGGTCGTACGCGCAACTTTAGCCGATATAAACACACTCGAATCCGCTTGCCATACGGCGAACAATCGTTTATCCAATTTACGATACTCGAAAATCTTCAGTCCAGAGGAGTTAAACGCAGCAACCCCAAGCGCAACCGTAAGAGGCGGCAACACGGATCGAGAGAGAGACCGAGGTGACGAGGAAGAAGCGCTCCTCGTCAACCACATACAGGAAATCCAAAAGGAAAAGGCCCTACTTACTTCAACTCTCCCCAGCCTAACGAGAGCTTCTTCAGACGACGACCTACTTCTACCTGCCACGGACCTGGATGATGGGTCTCTCGATGATCATCTTCCATCCTCTGCCGGTAAATTATTATGCTTTCATTAATCTCAGCATAACGTGGAGAGTAGAAATAACGTAATGTTGGGGGAAAAAGCAATCTAGGTCAGTGCTGACCGTGGGTGGGAACCCCTTATGGACGGTCTGCCCTTTCTCTGTGTTCTATTGATAGGTGCAGAAAAATCGTCGAATTTTTTGTGAATAGTAGTCTCATTTATTTATGCACGTCTTTTACAAATAATACAATATTAATCATACGAAGGCAGCACTGATTCAAATTGTTCACAGATTCCCTTTTTCTTTTAAATTGATCCAATTTGTAATATTTTCTGCTTCCTGTATTGTCAACAGACGGACTCGTGAGGAAGAAACCTATCCAGAGGCAAAGTTCCGCGGACAATTCATTTCCTACGATCATCAGTGTCGATGAGGACATGGTAATGGTATGACCATCGACGGTGAACGTTTCCACGAAGAACGATGATCGTTAAATATAGCAACATGACACGCGCTGTGAAGCGTCGACTGACGGCAGCGAATCGACGAGTCTTACTTCTGGTCTCATCGGCAAGCCGCTAGTAACTTAAATAAGTAGTAAACACGATATTAGGTAGGTCTAGTAATTTGTTCCATGCGAAGTTAAGCAGATAATCCGATCACGTATCATATATATATATATATTTTTTTTTTTCACTCTGTCGCAAAGCTTTCAGAGGTTTCTAAAGAATAATTAACAAAGGAAATACGCGACATACAGCTTTCATGTGAAATGTACTAAATATTCATTTTATAAATCTATTTTTCTCCTGGGATGCATTCCTCTTATCGAAGACTGTTAATCAGGCTAGATGTTTTAAAGAAAGCTCCATCGAAACAGCGTATATATTTACATTTCGCCCGGTATTCTACGGTAGAATATCTCTTCGTTTTTTTCTTTTCCGATATGTCACGTTTCATTTTTCTGTACGATCGACGTGTGAAGCATGGAAGAAGTATACGTACGTATGGATTATGGTTATTTTGTAAAGAAAAGAAACGAAAAGTAAGGCGAAGATTGTCCGTTATTGTTACGAATGTTTAGTCGCATTTAAATTCTCGTTCTACCCCCATGTTTTTTATCGGTTCGTTCGAAAACGATCCTTCCTTGTTCTTCACTCTTTTTACAGATTTTATAGACTGTTGCGTGAACCAACACGATAGTAACTCTCTCGTTTTCTTCTTAACGGAATCTCAAGTTTGTATACTGTTTTCTTTGACAATCGCATGTTTAGAGACGCGAAAACGAATTTTGTTGTAGAAGGATGATAAGGAGAGAAAAAAAAAAAAAAAGAACGATGAAACGAGTGTCGATGACTTGAAGGTTATGGGAAAAATAAGGTTAGCGAGGCACCTCGTCAGGTTTCGTTTTTTTTTTCTTTTACCAGACATTTCGTTGACCTTTTTTTCTTTTTATATAGAGTACTCGCGTGCGAGCGTGTACGCACGCGCGCGATGCAATAGGTAGTTATCAGATCTGACTGGTTCAAGCAGGGGAATCGAATCACGTTGAATGAGGAAAAGAGGAAACCAAATTGTAGCTTGTACATATATTATTAGGTCATCCGAGAAGTTCGTGCCTACTTTTATTACCGACAGGTAGGTTAACACTTTGACTTTACCTTTCGTTGCTATGAAAAAACTTTTTCCTACTTTTCGCCAAAAAAGATTATACCACGAGTGGTAAAACTTTCTACGTTTTTTATTAAAATATTTTTTCATCTTGTTTTGCAGGTAGTTGATGTTATCGCATTTTTTTTATCTACCAAAATGTACCAGAATTCCCTCGGTATATACGTATATGTATTCTTACAAACACACAATGGAATGCAACGCACATACAAACATATAACAGGGGCACAAACTTCTCGAATTACCTGATATATACGATATTGAGTATCTCGTAATAATCTGTTATTATTGTTAACTTTACGAGAGTCGTTACCAAGATTATATTTCTACTGTCGATATTTGTCGTGTAAAGGCATTTTACACGCGCCTATATTTTGTCGATAATACATAAACACACACACAGGGCCTGCCAATTTTTTTCCTTCGTATCAGTTTTTTTACTTAGGGTAACTTCCTTTCATGCAGAGAGACTTCTTTATATACATAAACGCGTCCAAGCGGACACGTATTATACATATATATAAATATACATAGTAAACATACAGATACACATACACACACACACACACACACATAGTGAGAGAAATCCACACGAAGGACACTTATACACGAATAATTATGTACATACAGAGATTGTTTGTGTGCACAGGACTGAGCAGACGGTTTTTTTTTTTACTTGAGATTTATTACGATTTCGTTTTAGTTTCCCTGTCGTCCAGTGCCTTTTTTTTTAGTTTCCGCTTTCTTTATGCTCATCTCCCTCTTTTTTAATACACTACTATAGCGTCTCTAGTTGGTCTGTTTTTCTTTTCGTGCGTCCTCGCGCCAGACTCGAATACCCAACAATCGGAAGGGTCGGGAAGTTGTTCGAGCGAAACGTTGGAACTGGAAATTTCGAGGTCGCGCTTCGCGAAAAGTAAAAATCCCTTTTACCGAAAGTATTCTCTATTTTAATCCCGCTTTTATATTTCACGTTTAATAAAAAAAGAAAGAAAGAAAGAGAAAAAAAGAGGAAAAGAGCAGAAAACTTCCTCGTACTGTTTTAATCCTAATTCGAGGACAAAAGATCTCAATTCCCTGGCACTATCGTGTTTCGTCTACATTTCTGCCTTTCGGCTATCTTGTCAAAAAGTTATCTCCCCTTTTTCGGAAAACTATATCCAGTATTTTATACGCGTAATTTCAGTATTCTCTGTTCTCCAGTATTTATTTATTTAGATTTATCTCAGTATTCCATTGCTAAAAATAACTTGAAAAAAAGAAAGAAAAATTCAAAATTTCTTGTCTACCTTTTCGCTTAAAACCACTCGACCTCGCCAACGTTTCGTTAACACGCTTCAAATTTCACCGAACAACGCCGGACCACGGGGGAAGATCTGTTCCCGAAAGGAAAAGAAGGCAGAGGAATATTTATACGAACACAGCCACGCATATACTTAAACACACAGACAAGTTCCAAGCTGTACTAATTTCTTCTTTTTTTTTTTTTTGTTTTTTAGCAGCGGTTAATCGAGCGAGATTCGTACGCGGTCAAATCGAACGATTGTTTCAATTTACATGCACGATCGAGCCACGTGTTAGCTTTTACCCAAGCAACTATTAGGATTAAGACGAGAAATTCCAGAGAAAGAAAAGGAAGTCACGTGGCTCATCTCCATATTCTTCCCAAAAGTTCTTTTACGTTAACCCCCTTTTTTTCTCACTTGTGTCTCTGTTTGTTCGTTTTTTATCTTTTTCTTTTTGTCACTAGACTCGCGAAATCTACACATTCGTGTTACGTTCGTTTCTTTTTTTAGAATGATCGATTAACAAACCCCCCTCGACTGTTTTAAACGTCCGTGTTCGCGTTTTGCGCGTTGTTCTTCTTTTCTCTTTTCAACGCTTGTCCTCTCCTCCGATCGGAGAATGCTCTTTCAGAGAGGCAAGGCGTTGAAAGACTCTTCGTTTTACAGTTGATCGATTTTTACACTGATTTAGGGATAGGATCGTTGCGACTACGTTTCGTTCGACCACGCGAACCGGAATCGTAGTGTGTTTTTTAACCAGTTGAAAATGTTATTCCGTTTTTCTCGACGTTCTCGAGGCGTTCCCGCAACGTGTGTTAAGCCGCGGGACCGTTCGAACGAGAGAACCGCTTCGAATGGTTTTCTGCACGATGTCGAAACAAGTTCTTCGTTCATTGTAGCCTCGATATACGCTCTTGTCTCTATCGTCGAGAGAGCACTGCGAGATATGTCGCGGTCCGTTTTATGTACGCGTACATTATCGATCAAAGAGCACATATGTGTATGCATGTATTGTTATAAAAAAAAGAAAGGAAAAAAAAAGGGTCGTTTTCGTCAGAGTTCACCTTTTATCTTAATTAGTATTATTCATCGTTACGTTCATGGAACTTTTCAATTACGACGTGTTCCACATATCTCCTCTGTTCCACAGCAATTCTCTGTAATATCGATCTGGGTCTCCTAGCAACCTTGTACTTGATACCAGAACAATTTTCTCCAATTATTTTCTGAACGATAGCTTTCGGTGGCCGGATTCAGAGTTTGAACGAAAAAAAGAAAAGTTCTATTAATTTAATACGTGATAATTGATCGCTCTGGTAAACGGTGAATTACAGTGAAATAAAGGAATTAAAACATTGTGTAATAATAGAATTATTAAGATTCCTATTGTATTTCATACTTTTTTATTTTTTTTTTTTTTTTTTTCGTTTCATTGTACGTATTTCGTTGAACAATTTGATCGATAATACGCGGTACCGATGGCGGGAACACGAGAGGCATTGGTTTAGCGCGTTGAACGTTCTTTATGCTGAAAGCGTTACTGTTGATTTCAGTGTGTAAAAAGGGAGTGTTTTGTAAAGGTCTCGGACCGGTCCATTTGTTGTTTGATCGTGCGTTCACGAAGCAAAAGGTTGACTCGACGAAAGGGGGGGAAAAAAAGAAGGTTGATTTTCGTTTCGGCTAGTCTGTTATTATATCGCTTTGTGTATCGAGATCGTTTGTTAAAATCGTCGGCTGTTTCGCCCACCCGTATGAAGCACGTGTTTCTGTTTTCTCCTTCGAGAAATTTATTACCGATGTAGTGAAAAAAAGAAACAAACGAAAAAAGGCCGCCACGGTAAAGCTCTAGAGCTTTGTGCGAATCTGTCTGTTAGAGGAGTCGAGCCGTGGTGTGTTTTTTTTTTTTTTCTTCTATAGAGCCCAGGTAGTGATGTCTTCTTATCGCGTATAATTGAATAAGAGCTAATCGTTGATATCTGTAAATGATCGTTTTAACGCAAACGCATTACGCTTCTACTGTGCAAAGAAAAGAAAAAACGCAAAAAAAGCAAAAAACAAAAGTAAGATAAAGGTGCTTCGCGCGAGATTATCGAGCGCACAAAACGTGTATCATCTGTTTTTCTCGATCGTGAAGGGAGGAAAGCGAACGAGGCCCTAAGAGGAACGACCACACGTGTACAGGTCGCGGCACTAGCATTTCTCTCAGCGACCCTTCTTCCCGTCTCGAGACGACACCGGGGAAAATTTCCACGAATTCTCGATTCTCTCGCCGCGCGGTGAAATAATTAACAGACCAATGTTCCGTCGACTTCGTTTCAGTTCCACGATTATTACCGGGAGAAAAACGCGATTGATTCACCAAACCGCCCTGTGTAACGGATAAAGTAAAGAAACGCGAGCTCGACATGGTTCTCCGTGTCAAAGAGATCGAATCGTTTGAAATTCTCCCTTTCGTCGCCGGGAACGTGTCTGGGTCTGTGTAAATAGGCGATAAG